TGGACGAGAAGAAGATTTTTACTGGGGAATCTGCAACTTAGAAGAACAGAGACAAATGGGTGTTGGTCTTCTTGATCCCTCCATTTTAAGTACTGTGTCACCTTTGATTGACAATTCTATTAGTTAACAACGTGTACTGCTAATTATTTTGAATGCTGCGTAACCTTGAATTTACAGTATGTCCACCCTCTGATGCTTTTTGATGCATTAGTATTTCCCAATTAAGTGAAGGACAAGATCTCAATGACATCATGGTGTGTTCTAAGAATGGAGTTTGCATGCTGTTCCTTTAAATTTTGAGTTTTCATTGGCTATGTACTGAAAGTTAATGGGATTTATTCTTGTGTTACATAGGTTCAAAAGGATAACCTGCTTCCTGACCTGCTGATTCTGCCGGCCGGTACTGATTTGCATGATCATCCTCTTGTCTTGAACGGAAGTGTCTTTATGCAAGTGGGTGTCAGGAAAAATTACACTTCAGCTGCTGTCATGATGTGGTTCTAGTGTGTTTTATCTAATATTTAGTTTGATGGATGTTCCATGTGTTTTATCCAATGTTGAGTTTGGTGGAGAGAGATGTTTATTTTGAATATCTAATTTTGCAGGGTAAAGCAAGCTGTATGGTTGCAGCAGCCCTTTGTCCTGAGCCAGGCTGGGTGGTGAGTTGCTTTTTGCTACTGTTTCTAATGTTCTCTCTCTGAGGTCTACTTTAATCTCAATGAAGATACCTTGCCATTTTTCCTGAAATGGTTCACATATTTGATCCTCCTTTTCCAAAGGTTCTTGATGCTTGTTCTGCACCTGGAAACAAAACTGTCCATTTAGCTGCTCTCATGAGGGATAAAGGAAAGATTGTAGCTTGTGAACTCAATAAGCAGAGAGTTCACCGTTTAGAAGATACTATCAGGCTCTCTGGCGCTTCCAGTATCCTTTTTCCCCGATTACCAGTATTTCGGCATCTACCGACACCTTGATTGTATGCATCTGTTTGTATTTTATTTACAACTGGTGCGTTGTCTTAACATTTGGGAACATTGGTTTAACCTGCTTGAGAACATTGGTGATTCACTTTTGCATTCTTGGGTTCTTCTCTTTGTCATGTAAGTATTTAGACTATTGTCCGCTTGTTGGGAGCCTTGATAGCTGCTAGACATCCATGTAGTCCACGGAGATTTTTTAAATTTGACCCCAAGCGTTCACCCATACAACAAGGTAAAGAATCATGACATGTAGTCCATGGTATTCTTGGTTTAACTGCACATGTTTTCGTGGTGCTTTGCAACCGTCATTTATGGAACCTCACCCCCAGAAAATTATTATTTCCATTTCTTCAAGGGGGGTGGGGTGGGTTGTCTGTCTTTCCTGTGCTTTTCTACACATAGTCACGAGAGTTCACGTTTGCAGGTCCGAGCAATTCTTTTAGATCCGTCCTGCTCGGGATCTGGGACATCTACTGAGAGATTGGATCATCTGCTTCCTTCTTACACAACCGGTAATTATCCATTATTTATTCAAGAGTTTTATTTTAAATAGTATCCCATGGCTTTCTGTTTTCAGGAGTTAATGACTACTATCAATGTCTCGTATCATATATATCATATCTGTGCATCTTTTGCATATTACTATATGGGAAAAAGCCACCAAAAACCCCAAACTTTGCCATCCGTGATACATTTACCCCGAATTTTTTTTTGTGACACCAAAAACCCCGAATTTTGCTTTTTGTGACACATTTACCCCAATGTATTTAGTCCATGGGCATTTTCGTCTTTTTTGCTTTTTCTTTTTTTTTTTCTTTTTTTTTCCTTTCCGGCGAGGGGGGGCCTCGCCGGCGTCGGGCGAGGGCTGCCCATCGCCGAATCCGGCGAGGGGGGCCCTCGCCAGATCGGGCGAGGGCTGCCGGCGTCGGCGAGGGCCGCTGGCGTCGGGCGAGGGCCGCCATCGCCGGATCCGGCGAGGGGGCCCATCGCCGGCGCCGAGCGAGGGCCCTCGCCGCGGCGTCGAGCGAGGGCGGCCCTCGCCGGCGTCGAGCGAGGGGGCCCTCGCCGGCGCCGAGCGAGGGCGGCCCTCGCCGCGCCGAGCGAGGGCGGCCTCGCCGGATCCGGCGAGGGCCGCCCTCGCCGGCGTCGGCGAGGTTCGCCCTCGCCTCGAGTCGGGCGAGGGCCGCCCTTGCTCGCGTGCGAGGGCGACTCGCCGGCGTCGGCGAGGTCCGCCTCGCCGGGCGAGCGAGGGCGGCCCTCGCCCGATCTGGCGAGGTCGACCCTCGCCGGATCCGGCGATGGGCAGCCCTCGCCCGACGCCGGCGAGGCCCCCCCTCGCCGGAAAGGAAAAAAAAAGAAAAAAAAAAAAGAAAAAGCAAAAAAGACGAAAATGCCCATGGACTAAATACATTGGGGTAAATGTGTCACAAAAAGCAAAGTTCGAGATTTTTGGTGTCACAAAAAAAAGTTCGGGGTAAATGTGTCACAGATGACAAAGTTTGGGATTTTTGGTGGCTTTTTCCCTTACTATATTAATAATGTCCAAAACCCATTGATATGTCTGGGTTATCCAGGTCATGCAGCTGATGGTACAGAAATAGCGAGGCTCAATAAACTTGCAGCTTTTCAGAAGAAGGCCCTGACACATGCATTATCTTGTAAGGTTGCTGATCGATTCTAAGACCATTAGTAATGCATCGGAAGGATCTCATGTATTTTTCTCTGTACAGTTCCAGCTGTAGAAAGAGTCGTTTATAGTACGTGCTCCGTCCACCAGATTGAAAACGAAGATGTAGTACAGTCTATCCTCCCTCTTGCTGCATCTCATGGGTTTCGCCTGGCAGCTCCCTTACCCCAGTGGACTCACCGTGGTCTTCCAGTTTTCGAAGGCGGTAAGTGCCGTGTCATTTGATTTTAGCCTTCAGGAGGACTCTTTCTTTGCTCGCTTTAAAAGGGCCTAATACCCAAAAAAAACCCCAAACTTTAGCCTTTGTCCCAATTATATCCTAAATTTTTTTTTGTCTCATAAAAAACCCCAAACTTTTACTTTTGTCCCAAATCTACCACCGTTAACTTTTCCGTCAAATATTACCGTTAATAATTATTTTAATATTATTTTTATTTTTTCGAATTTTTTTATTTTATTTTATTTTTCCTTTCCTTTTCTTTTTTTTTCCCTTCATCTTCAACCTCTGGCCGGTCGCCGGTGTTGGGCGAGGTCGGCCTCGCCCGCCCCCGACGAGGTTTGTCCTCGCCGTGGACTTCGCCAGCGGCCGGCGGGATCGAGCCCTCGCCGGATCTGGCGAGGCTCGAACTCGCCGGCAACCAGCGAGGACGAACCTCGCCGGGGGCAGGCAAGGCCAACCTCGCCCAACGCCAGCGAGGTCGAGCCTTGCCCGCCCCTGGCAAGGTTCGTCCTCGCCATGGCTGGCAAGGCTTGGTCCCGCCGGCTAGTGGCGAGGTCGAGCCTCGCCGCGGCCGGTGAGGACGAGGCCGGCGGGACTGAGCCCTCGCTAGCGTTGGGCGAGGCCGACCTCGTCGGCGTTGGGCGAGACCGAGCCTCGCTAGCCATGGCGAGGATAAACCTCGCCGGGGGCGGGCGAGGCCGACCTTGCCCAACGCCAGCGAGGTCGAGCCTCGCCTGCCCCTGGCAAGGTTCGTCCTCGCCATGGCTGGCAAGGCTTGGTCCCGCCGGCTAGTGGTGAGGTCGAGCCTCGCCGCGGCCGGTGAGGACGAGGTCGGCGGGACTGAGCCCTCGCTAGCGTTGGGCGAGGCCGACCTCGTCGGCGTTGGGCGAGACCGAGCCTCGCTAGCCATGGCGAGGACAAACCTCGCCAGGGGCGGGCGAGGCCGACCTTGCCCAATGCGGGCGAGGCCGACCTTGCCCAACGCGGGCGAGGCTCGACGTCGGCCAGAGGTTGAAGGTGAAGGGAAAAAAAAAAAAGAAAAGGAAAGGAAAAAGAAAAGAAAAGAAAAGAAAAAATCAAAAAATAAAAAAATAATTATTAACGGTAATATTGGACGGAAAAGTTAACGGTGATAGATTTGGGACAAAAGTAAAAGTTTGGGGTTTTTTATGAGAAAAAAAAAGTTTAGGATATAACTGGGACAAAGGCTAAAGTTTGGGGTTTTTTTTTTGGGTATTAGGCCCTTTAAAAGTCGGTCTCGGCCTTTGCCTCCTGAATCACTGTTCCCTTGTCATGCAGCTGAAAAGTTGCTGCGGACCGATCCCGTAGAGGACAAAGAGGGTTTTTTCATTGCACTGTTTGTCAAAGAACATGTCGACAGGCACCGAGGAATTCAATCTGGATTGTCTACTCAGAAAACCAACAGGAGAGTCTCCGGTTCGACAAAGAAGAGATTTGTAACGGGTACTAAATTGTCCAGGTTGCTTTTTTACTCATCAGGAATGCAGACTAAAACTACTTGAGAATCGTCATGATATTTGCCTTTCTTGGTATTCTAATTGCATGTCATTTGATCGGTTCCACTGCGAGTCCTATAGAGAGCATCTAAAACTTGATTGAGCAAATCGATCGGTCTTGACGAGTCCTTGAAAAATATATTCGAATCGTCGGAATACTGCAATTAGCACACCGTCCCGAAGTGAACTTGTCCCTCGGCTCTTTTTGCTTAAGTAAGTTCAGCATGCGACTGGAGTTCAATTTATCAGAACTTGTCTTAGTAACGTTCAAAGGGTGCCACCGGTCTTTCTCTGTGCATTCATCAGATTCAGCAACTCAACAAAGACGCGCTCCTCGTCTTCGATCCTCGAATTTCTTAGGTTGTGCACCCGTTCAAACCCACGAAAGTGCTCCATTGGGGTCGATATGGTTTTCTAATTCCGTGAGGTTTCTCAAACGGGACAAATCGATCGCGGCTCTCAGTGAAGAGCAGACCCTGACATGAAGTTCCAATAAAACTCCGAGGAAATCTGCGGATTCACGGAAAAGATTCCGATCGTGATCGGTCGGAGACAAAAGGTCAGATGGGAACGTTGGCCATTCTAGGTATGTCTGATTCTTGCATACCGCGATATCACCGGTTTTTTCATGTCCATTGATACGACAACCCCCTGTTGAGTAACAAGACTTATGCAACAAACTCATTCCGGAAGACCCCCACACAACCAGACTTTAACACTACTACTCACACACGACAGAAGAACAAAAGAAGAAACTTCTTTCTCGTTTCTTCGACCCTCTTATTCTTTCTCCATATTATAGGCCCTGGACATGGTACACGCACAAGTCACGGGCAGTTTTAAGCGATCTGGACCTCGATGGTTTTGGGCTTCTTGGGCTCCGGCGGCGGCCTCTTCTCCACCGTCACCGTCAGCACTCCATCCTGGTACGCCGCCGCTATCTTCTCCGTGTCCGCGTTCTCCGGCAGCACGAACTTCTTCAGGAACTTCCCCAGCCTCCTCTCCATCTTTATGTAGTTCAGCAGCCCCCCTCCCGCCCCGTCGTTCTGGTCCTTCTCTTTCTCCCTCTTCCTCTCGCCGCTCACCACCAGCACGTTCCCGTCCTCCACCTGGACCCTGATCTGGTCCGGCTTCAGCCCCGGCATGTCGAGCACGAACACGTACGAATTCGGGTACTCCTTCACGTCGGCAGGAGTCGCTGCCATCGCCTTCCTGTCGCGCAGGAAAGCGCGGGACGGGGCGTGGTGGGACTTGGCGTCGGCCTCGTCGGAGAGGTCGAGGAGCTCGTGGAGGGTGTCCAGGACAGTGGTGTCGAAGCCCATGTCTCTGAGATCCATGCTTTTTCAGCTGCTAAGCTTTGAAACTGAAGTGTGTCTCTCGTGTTTCTTGGTGCAGTTGAAGTCGTGGGAGTCTCTGGGATTTATATGGAGGTGACGAAGTCGGTGGCGCGCCGGTAACCTTGTAGATGTAGATGCTTCGACGAGGCTCTGTGGAATTCTCATGCCAAGGAGATTTTCCTGTTGTCCAGGGTCTCTCAGGCTATGATGACAGGTGGTGATTGAGCGCACAAGTCACTGACACATCACAGAGCTTGCATGGCATCATTCTTATCTTTTGTTTTTTCCAATTTTTTTTCTGCCTTCCTTGAATTTGAAAACCCAACTATAATAAATAATGACCATCGATCTCAAACCTTAGTTTAAGCTAAAATAGGATGCCTGTGGTAATTCGATTTTTGTTCAGGTAACTAACGGATGGAAAAACAAATAGAGAGAGAGAGAGAGAGAGAAGCTCCATTGATTGGACCAAAAAGCATTTTCACAATACTTCCTGGTTTCCCTTCAAAATGCCAAAAAAAGAAAAAAGGATCACATTGGTTCCAAAACAATCTAATAACTACTGTTAATATTTTTTTTTGGAGATATAGAAAGTTTACTGCTAATTGAGATAAAAATCACAATTAGTCCTAAACATATTGCAATAGTGTCGATTTAGTTATAAACATTTTGATATAGTACCAATTCAGTCATTCCGGTTAATTTTGGTAGGATATTGCTGATGTGGACACCCGCCGTACCACGTAAGCCGGTTGGCGCTGACGTGGATAACTTTTAATAATATTTTCGTATTTTTTGAATTTTATTATTTTATTTTCTTTCTTCTTTTTCTTTCCTTCCCTTCCTTCTCCCTTTGGCCGGTTGCGGAGGTTCGGCGACCGGCCAGAGGCCATGGTCGGCGAGGTCAACCTTGTCGGATGGTCGCGAGGGAGGTCTTGCACTCGGCTGTGAGGCTCGAGCCATTGCTAGAGGCCGCGAGGTCAAAAGCCATGATCTCGCGTCACCAACGAGGGCAAGCCTCGCCATGGCTGGGTGAGGCTACCTTCACCTTCACCTCTCCAGTGGCCGGTCGCCGAACCTCGGTGATCGGCCGGAGGAAGAAGGGAGGGAAGGAAGAAAAAAAGAAAATGAAAGAAAAGAAAAGAAATTCAAAAAATATTATTAAAAGTTATCCATATCAGTGCTGGTTGTACCATGTAAGCCGACCGGCGTCCACGTCAGTAATATTTAGCCAAAATTAGCCGAAAGGACTGAATTGACACAAATACAATAAGTTTAAGACTTCTTTGACACTTTTCCCATCAAAACGAAATTAAGAAGTGTAGACATTGCTAATCGAACCTTTGTATTAGTTGTAAATATTCTAGGATATTTAAGATAGAGGGAGAGAATAGAGAATCGATAAAAACTATATTTTTACTCAATTAATTCATATTAATATATTAGAATCAAGGATATTTATATCCAAACAATACATATACAAAACAAAATAACTAATAAGAAAATTAGTTATTTTAGAGAATAACGAAATAACAAATGATATTCTACTAATAATATCTCTAACAATGTTTCTTAACAGCGAATACAATATCCACAAATATTCTTTAACGAAAGAGTAGGCTTATAATCTTTATTATAAAGATATTCTAGTAATTAAAGAACTCAAAATTTATTGCTTCGTGGTGGAATTTGGAAGAGGTGGGATGTGGAGAAAGCATCGCTCCAAAAGCAATCGTGAGCCTCTTTCATACGTGGTGGGGCACTAGGTGGCCCCGACCCCCACGTGGCTTTAGCATATCAGTGTTCGGGTCGAACTGGACCGGTTCAATGAATAACTACTATCGCACGAGCTCAGAACATGTGTGCCTATATTATTTTTCTATCATATAACCTTTTATACGAGACTCACATGATTTAATAATTGAGATGGCGTATGCGAGTTTCACTTCATCTCAATTGCTAGAGAAATTTCTTCTCGAATCATGTCGTGAAGATTTTTTTATATCAATCAGGCTACTATATTCCGATTTAGTTGTCAACATTCTATGATGTTAAATTCAATCGATCTAGTATATGTTAATCTGTGATTGATAAAATACATATTGAAAACCCTTATTAGATTCATTACCCAGAGACAAGTTTCATTACACATATCAGAACCCCATGCAAAGTCATGCAAAATAACAGAAGGAACTACAAGCGCACCAAAACTTGCCTAGACACAATTAGAACAGGCCATCATCAACCAGCCTTCACTTCAATGGTCTTGGTCTTCGGCTCCGGCAGCTGCACCTTCTTGACGGCGACCCTGAGCACCCCGTCCTGGCATGCCGCCGTCGCCGTCACTGTCACCGTCTCCACATTGACGTTCTTTGGCAGCGCGAACTTCCTCATGAACTCCGGTCCTCCTCTCCATGCTCAGGTAATTGGCCCCTTCTTCTTTCTACCTCTTCCTCTCCCCGCTCACGACGAGCACGTTGTCATTCTCTATCTGGACCTTGATCTCGCTAGCTCTTATCCCGGGCATGTCCTCGACGAAGACGTAGGAACTTGGGTACTCCACGATGTCAGCGGGAGTCATGGCCATGGCCTTCACGTCGCGGACGTAGTCGCGCGAGGGGTTGTTCCTCGATTTCTTGGGTGTTGCGGAGGCAAGCGATTGAAAAGTAAAAATAGACAGAACAAGAAAATAAATCAGACACTAGATTTACGTGATTCGGTCGTAGTGACCTACGTCTACGAGAAGAGTAGTACGGAATTCCACTATAGATCAAGCGATACAACGGAGATTAATTACAATCATACTCGTGTCACTCGAACACTCTAAGTGTTTTCTAAGCCCCAATTACACCCAAAAGCTCATGCAGTGTTTAAGCCACAATTTTTCACAAAATAATCTCTCAATCTCACGAAAAAATTAAAGACAAATTCTTACCACAAGAATTTAATCGGCTACAACACACTCGGATATCTTTAGAATGTAATTCCCTAGTAGAAGCTTCTTTTTGATGATCTTCACAAATAACGTCCCTTCTTATTTAGAGGCAAGAATTGGATCCAAATTAGAAAACCTCTTTTCAAGACACCTTCAATAATTAGGAAACCTTTTCTAACTAGGAAACCATTCAATTAGCAAACCTATTCAAAATAGGAAACCTACTTGAATTAGGAAACTTTCCTTTTCGGGCTCAAAATCGAGACATAATTTTAACATCGGGCTCGTCGGGGAAGTCGAGCATGTCTTCGAGGATCCCGAAGAGGCGTGAGTCGAAACCGAGATTCCGCTGATCCATATGTTGTCTGCTTTTCCTCGTCCAGAAAAGAAGAGGACTGTGTGTGATTGTGGGATGAGGAGGCTGGTGTTATAGTTTACTGGGGTTTTATAGAGTAGGTTTGAGGGGGGATCGCCATGAGAGAGGTCTTGAGAAAGGTCTGGAGACGAGTACAGTGGACTGTTCACGATGGGTTTTGAGTTGCTTCGGTAATCTTCTGCAATTTACTATAAAGATTACTAAATAGTGACATTCCCCTTTTTTAATGACAAGTAGTCCATTTGATTCATCTATAGTAATCAATCCCATTTTCCTATGATAGAGCACACTAGAACGTCGAATAAAATTCAAAATTTGCCATCGTTTTAGTAAATCCTTCATTAGGTAAGGTTTCTTTCGTTGATCAAAGGCTGTAAGGAAGGATTTAAATTTAGATTTAAAATGTATATAAAATAGTTCCAAAGATTATTTTTAAAATAAGTTTTCAATCATATAGTACCCACAATTCGATTATTACTTATTTTAATAAATAGAACTTAGAAGAAAACGTGTCGAAATTTGAGATTGACAATCTCCTATGAACTATGGCTAGAAAAAAGAAAAGAAGAAAGAAAACTACCTTTGATTAATCCTTTCTAAACATTGATTTTGTTTATCATGGTTAGAAAGTCCAATGTAAAAACTTAAACCGAGAAATAGAGGGAGAAGGTATATTAAAGCACAAACAAAATTAACTAGGGCATAATTTGGCTTTGATACCATAATAAAAGGTTCAACCCAAAAGTTTAAACTGAAAAGTGGAGAAAAAACGTGTATATAAAAAGCATGGAAAACCTACGGTTAAGCGATATGGAATAATCATACTTTAGAAAAATTTGAGGTTGAAAGTTAACTTATAATTTGCTTCATATGCCTCATAAATATAAGAATGATACAAGCTCCTATTTGTGGGGGCGAATGTATGATACAAGCTTCTTAACAAAGGAAGCATGACGGGATCATATCATTAATCAAGGGTCTAGGGTCCCCTATGAGAAAAAAAGGGACCGCATCCCAGGTGCAAAACTGACTGGTTACCAACATAAAGATAATTTATGAACTGTAAGATAACTTTTGCATTGCAAATACTTAAGAACGTAAAGGTAATTTAATAACTCCGAAGCTAATTTTACGAACACAAAAATATGATTTACAAACATCATTTTGCAGTTATGACACAATAAAGATGTCACTACAATTAGACCTTGTTAGCAATTTATTAAGATCAAGTATAATTAAGATCATCAACAATTAGCACTCACTCAATTTACTAATTACAAGGGAAATGACTACCTTAGAGGTGCATTACATCTTATAGGGTAAATTGCTACTTCGAATTACTTACGATATTGTCTTAAGAGATGTTACTTCTTTGAAGGTAAATCGCTCATTTTATCACATGAGAGTGCTTACACTTGGTAATTTCCTTATAACATAGTAAATTACCTCAAACCATCGCAAGTGATATAATACTTGCTAATTGACCTAAAGCTATGGTAAATTGGCTAAACACCTCATAATAATATTGTACTTACTGTTCGTACAGTTTTATTAAAAATAATGACATTTCTTTCTTTACCCTTTGTAAGTTGGGGATGTTGTCACTTGTAATTATCCATTGATGATCTAATTTTCTTCAATTAGTTGTAATTGTTAGTTCATTATTGTTGACACCTATTTTAATTTGCCCAAAATTAATTATGCAAAAATTAGTAATTAAATTTTAATTCCTAAAACAAAAAAAATGTTTTTAATTCTAAGTG